TTTTGTTTCTTGGACCTCTCTTGGGGTGCCTCTCGGAACGTCTTGGGGTGCTTTTGGGAGCCTTTTGGCGCCTCTTGGCGGCATTTTGGCGCCTCCTGGAGCCTCTTGGGCCGGAAGCTCGGAATTCGAGGTTGGCTTTCTCCGTCTGGGACCCCTCTCGAACTCGTCTTGGGGCTCTCTTCGGCCGTCTTGGGGCCGTCCTGGGCCACTCGTGCGCAGCCTTGGAGCGCTCCCGGAGGCCTCGTAGACCGTCTTGGGCGCCTCTTGGGCCGTCTTGGACGCGGTGAAAGCCCAAGAGGCGAACATGCGAAAAATATACGTTTTCCCATAGGAATGGCACGATTTTTGCTTCTTGGACCTCTCTTGGGCTGCCTCTCGGAGCGTCTTGGAGGCTTCTGGGACCTTCTTGGTGTCATGACAGGCGTCTTGGAAGGCATCTGGAGCCATCGGAGCGCGTTCCGAAGCCGCCTGCGAACGATCTTGGACGGCGTCCGGCGGTCCGACGAGCCTCCGGGCCCTCCGGGGCCCACATTTGTGGTCGAGGTCCCGGCCCCGGGCCCCCGGACCCGGTGCGCCGTTATATGTATATACGCAGCGCTGTCACAAAATATCAGGTTTCCCATATCTTGAGTCCCGAGAATATTAGTTACCCAATGTATACGGCGTTCAATCTATTGGATTTGCAAGATATACCTATATACAGCTTACAGAGAAATTTGGATTCCAATATATTGGATTGCCAAACCCAAGCCCAAACCGAAACCCAAACCACACAGTCCATAAGTCCTAAGTCCAGTGTGACCCTCGTAGTAGTAGTAGTAGTAGTAGTAGTAGTAGTAGTAGTAGCAGCAGTAGTTGTAGTTGTAGTAGTAGTTGTAGTAGTAGTAGTTGTTGTTGTTGTTGGTGGTGGTGCTATGATTGTAGTTGTAGTTGCAATTGTAGTTGTAGTTGTAGTTGCAGTAGTAGTAGCAGTAATAAGAATAATAGTAGTCGTAGTAGTAGCAGTAGTAGTAGTAGTAGTAGTAGTAGTAGTAGTAGTAGTAGTGGTAGTAGTAACAATCGTCGTAGGAGAAGGAAGAGAAGTAGTAGAAGTAGCCGTAGTAGCCGTAGTAGCCGTAGTAGCCCTAGTTTTCGTAGTCGTCGTAGTAGTAGCAGTAGTAGTAGTAGTAGTAGTCGTAGTAGTAGTAGTAGTAGTAGTAGTAGTAATAGTAGTAGTAGTAGTAGTGGTAGTAGTAGTAGTGGTAGTAGTAGTAGTAGTAGTAGTAGTAGTAGTAGTAATAAGAATAATAATAGTAGTCGTAGTCGTAGTCGTAGTCGTAGTCGTAGTCGTAGTCGCAGTCGTAGCACCCGTAACAGTGTTCGTAGTCTTGGCCAAGGGTCGAGGACGACCTCGCCGCGTCTGCCGAGCCGCAGGCCGGGCAGGCGAGCTATGGCCCTGCCCGCCCACCCCAAAAACAGCTGTGGCCTCAAAGAGGCCACTTACGCAAGCCGAGTGCGACGGAGGAGGGCATGGGAGAGAGGAGGCAACAGAAGGCAGGCAAGGAGAGGAGGCTACGGCTGGGGAGAAAGACCTCTATTCTCACGAACGCCCAATCCCAGTGCCATGTGGCATCGCAATGCTCGACTTGGAATGCATGGGCCCCTCTCCCTGCTTGTGCGCCGCCGACACTCGTCGGGGAAGAACAGAAGATGTTAAAGAGGGGATCGTCGTCGTCGTCGTTGTCAACCCTTTGTCGTTGATGTCCTATCGATCATGCGTCGATGCTCGATCTTCAGAGATATCGCGCAAGGATGTGGGGCTGCGCACGGAGAACAGACCGACCCGGGAGACGGACCACGCTGGCCTCAACAGGCCCACAGGTAGACCAGGGCGCTCGAGGACAGCGTGGAGCATCTCCACAGGCTGCCAAACGTTTGGGCGACGAGGGACGCATGGAGACAGGGATCAACATCGGCGGAAAAAGCAGGAAGAGTGGCGAAGGCCCGGCGTCCTCTGTTCTTGCTACGAGCCGACACACCCGCGCCTTGGCTGCTGGCACTCCTCGAGCTGTACATTGCCGCCCTAGTGCGGCGTGCACAGCAGGCGCGAGGGCTTCGGCCTCGGCCACCAAAAGCGGGCGGCCCACGGCCCTGCGTCGGGAGCGCAAGGCGCACGAGCAAATCGAAACAGAAAACCGCTCACGAGTTCGCACGAGCACGCCTACCTTCCCGAATCCGTCACCTCTGCAGTGGTTCATTCGGTCAGCACGCGTCGCTCAAATGCTGGCAACGTGGCATCGAAAATCTACCGAAAATCGCCAGGCCTGGTAAAAGGCCGTCGGAACTGAAAACGATCGTCCACCGCTGCCTCGCCTCGAAACCGAGTGCCGCCAGCCGCGCCGGAGCGGGGAACACAGGGAGGAGAAAGGCGAGGCCATGCCTGCAAGGAGGTTCTTGCGGGTAACCGCAACCTGCGACACCAAATTACGCCTAGAAGTGGCCTTGCCCACTCGCAGAAATCCCACCAGCCCTCTGGGCGACAGGTGGTCTAACGAGGGTCTCTTTCCTCTTCCACGACCCCTCTTCCCTTCGGGGGGGGGAACCCTCCCCCTCCCCTCCCTGGGTTTTTGGGGAGGGGGCCCGATGCGTCAGAGGGTCCTTTTTCGATCAGTGGGAGGGTCACTTTTTGACATCCCTCACGAAAATCCTGGCCCCCAGAGGGGGGGAACTACATCGTGGACCCCCCCTCTTTTGACCGACCGCCTCCAAGATGGCCCCCAGTGGCCCCCCCAGGGCTCCAAAGAGGCCCTCAAGAGGGCTCCAAGAGCGCCCCAAGAGGCCCCAAGAGGCCCCCAAGAGGCACCCGAGAGGCACCCAGGAGGCCCCCAAACGGCCTGAGGGAGCCCAAGATGACCTCCCAGATGGCTCAACATAGCCCAAGCTGGCTCAAGATGGCTCTCAAGATGCCCCCAAAGGCCCCAAGACCGTTCGAAGACGGCTCGATATGGCAACGGAGCCCCCCAGGAGGCCGCCAAGAGGCCAACATCCGTCAAAAACCTTTGACTACGCGTGTCTCTTCCTCTCTCCCCCCGTCAGCTCTCATGGACATCGCGTCTGGATGGGCTGGTGGGGATACTTTTTTGATCGCAAGCGCACCAGGAGACGCCGGACGCCGTCCAAAGAGTCGTAGCAAGCGGGTCTGGTGGGAATGCGCGAAGCATCAAGAATTGCACCTCGAAGACTCAAAGTGCCGGGGCGCGCCACGCAGATACAAATCATGCGCCAAGCTGAATTACAGGCTCGCCAACGTTCGTGATCCTCCTCCTCCTCCTCCTCCTCCTCCTCCTCCTCCTCCTCCTCCTGCGCCTTCCACACAAGCTGCGCTCGTCTCCCGGGAGGAGGCAGCGGTGACGAGGACGTGTCCCAAAACAGCGTTTGCTCTGGGCAGCCTCCTCCTCCTGTTCATCCTCCTCCTCCTCCTCCTCCTCCTCCTCCTCCTCCTCCCCCTCCTCTCCTGCCCACTCGCAGCGCCCACTCCCCCTGCCGACTTTCGGGGCAGGGAGCGGGCAAAGATCTATCATCATCATCATCATCATCATCATCATCATCATCATCATCATCATCATCATCATCTTCTTCTTCATCTTCATCTTCATCTTCATCTTCATCTTCATCTTCATCTTCATCTTCATCATCATCAACATCAGCAACAGCATCATCATCACCATCATCATCAGCAGAAACATCATCAACTTCATCGTTATCGTATCATAAGTACCAGCATCACCATCAGCATCGTGTCAGCATCATTAGCATCAGCAGCATCATCATCGTCATCAATCGCATCATCTTCACCTATCATCATCAACATCATCATTAGTAGCATCATCACCATCATCACCATCATCATCAACCACACCATCACGTCCTATCCTCGTAGAAAACCATCGGCATCATCACTGTCATCAACAGCATCGGCATCAGAATCGTCAACATCAGCATCATGTAAGCATGAACATCACCAACAGCAACGTCAGCGCCAGCGGACGCCTTATGACCATGATAAACATTATCAACAACACAATCCTCGTTCACCCTCACCGTTTTACAGTAAACCCGTGTGGTAAGGATGCGCGGCAAGGATGCATGGGCCTTGGACAGCCATGCCGACACTTTGCCAGCGGGGCGCGGCCAGCGAAAGCGGCCGAGGATGGGCCGAAGGGGAAGGATGCAAGAGTAGCCTTGGAAAGTCGCTCATCCTTACTATGCGGGTTTACTGTACTCACCATCACCATCACCATCACCATCACCATCACCATCAGCATCAGCATCAGCATCAGCACCGTCATCAGTATCATCATTATCTCACTCAGAATCGTTATCACCAGCATGATCAGAATCAGCATACTCAGCATCATGATAATCAGCATCATCACCTCTCTCATCATCATCATCATCATCATCATCATCATCATCATCATCATCATCATCATCATCATCATCACCAGCATCATCATCATCATCATCACCGACATCGTCATCATCAGCATCATCATTACCATCATCATCATCACCATCATCATCATCAGCATCATCACCATCATCATCAGCATCATCACCATCATCATCATCGTCATCAGCATCATCATCATCCTGCTCATCACCACTGTCAACAGCAACAGCACCAGCAACCACAACAACCATGGCATAGTAATCGCCATCATCCTAAGCATCACCAACTTGGCAAACGTTGTGATCATCAACTGCAGCTTCACCATGACTAACCTTACCATCCTGGCGTCGCCCGCCTGGCGTCTCAGAAGAAGGTCAGATCGTCGGGCGGCCAAGCGCCTGGGTCTCTGGCCGCCCGCTCCTCTCGAGGAAAACCAGATCCTCGGGCGGCCAGGGGCTCCCTGACCGCCTGGTGATCTTGAGGCAGAGGATGGCCACATCATCGGGCGGCCACACTGGCCGCCCAGTCGTGTTGAGGACTCTGAGCTCTGGCCCCACAGGTACCCTTCCTGGCCGCCAGGTCGCACTCCGAGAAAGTTCCCGACTTCGTCGGGCGGCCAGGAAGGGCACCGGCGCCCCGGCGCCTCGGAGGAAGACCACATCGCCAGGCGGCCGGAGCGCCCCTGGCCGCCAGGCGATGTGACCGTCTGACGGTCGCGCGCGGGCGAGGCGACGGGTCGCCCGCTCGCGCGGGGCCGCAGGAATCTGGCGAGTGGCGAGTAAGCGCCGCCCTGGGGCGGGGAGGCGCCCTGCGAGCGAAATCGGCGCGGCGCAGAGGCGATGGCGGCGCTTGCGCCCGCTCGCGCGTCGACGATCCAGGGCGTGCAAAGCACGCGTGCCGCGCCAGGGCGGGAGCGCGTCTTCCCCAGAAGCATGAGCGCGACGCCCAGGCGGCAGCGACCTTTCGTTTCGCCCTTCGCGCGCGGGGCTGCCCGCGGTGTGCGGCGTGTGCGGTTGGAAGCAGACTCGGCGACTTTGGCTTGCGCTTAAACCGATGGCATGGGGCGTCACGCATGGGGTTGCCGTCGGTCGGCCATCTAGGTGGCAGAGTGGGAGGAGGTATCCGAAGGAGGAACAAGGATAGGAGTAAGAGGAGGATGAGGAGGATGAGTGGAAGGATGAGGAGGAGGTGGAGGAACATGGTGGTGGTGGTGGTGGTGGCGATGGTGATGGCGATGGTGATGGCGATGGTGATGGTGATGATAATGATGATGAGCATGTTGAGGAGGAGGATGAGGATGAGGATGAGGATAATGATGCTGATGAAGATGACGACGGTAATGATGGTGGTGACGGTGATGATGCTTTAGGTTATGATGATGATGATGATGACGATGATGATGATGGATGATGGTGATGATGGTGATGGTGATGGTGATGGTGATGGTGATGGTGATGGTGATGGTGATGGTGATGGTGATGGTGATGGTGATGGTGATGGTGATGGTGATGGTGATGGTGATGGTGATGGTGATGGTGATGGTGACGGTGATGGTGGTGGTGATGCTGCTGATGATGATGATAACGATGGTGGTGATGGTGATAATGGTGATGATGATGATGTGTATGATGATGTTGATGATGATGGTGTCGATGATGATGATGCTGATGATGATGATGATGATGGTGATTGTGATGGTGATGGTGATGGTGATGATGATGATGATGATGATGATGATGATGATGATGATGATGATGATGATGGTGGTGGTGGTAGTGATAATTTTGAGCGGGATGGTGTTGGCGATGATGATGATGCTGATGCTGATGCTGATGATAATGATGATGGTGATGATAATGCTGATGACGATAACTCTGATGATGATGATGATGATGACGACGAGAATGATCAGGAGGACGAGGATGATTGGATTAAGAGGAGAGGGAAGAGGAGGAGCAGGAGGAGGAGGAGGAAAGGGGGAGGATGAGTGAGGAAGAGGAGGATGAGGCAGACAGGAGGACCCTCCCCTCTCCCTGCCCCTCCAGCTCCTCCCCATCTTCCCCCTCCTCCTCCTCCTCCTCCTCCTCCTCATCATCATCATCATCATCCTCATCCTCCTCCTACATCCTCATCCTCATCCTCATCCTGCTCCCCACCCCCTGCCAATCATCCCTTTAATCTTGACCCCCTCCTCCCTCTCCCCCCACCCCACACACACACAAGAATACTACTCTCTCTCTCTCCTCCCATGAAGTTGTCCGGAAGATTTCCCGCCCCCTCTGCGTGCTGCTATGTCTTACACACAAGACTTCAATCAAGGATTCCCCTCATGGCTTTTACAACCCGATTGTGTTCGGTGTTTCCACACGGTGCTCCCGCTGCGGCGTGGGCCTCAGGTTCGGATGGGCGCTTGGCTCCCCTCGTGCCGAATGGCGCGCCTCGCCCCAGCGCGGGCCACGCTTCCGAGTCCGACTCGTGCTTCCTTGTGGCCCCTCCCGGTCATTCCAATCCTCCGCGTTCCCCTGGTCCTCCTGCTCCTCCCGCTCCTCCCGCTCCAGCTCCTGCCGCTGCTGCTCGTCTCGCCCCGGCGCGGGCCACGTTTCTGAAGCCAGGTCTTTCTTCATCGCTGTCGCCCTCCACATTTCCCCTCCTCCGCCTTCCCCTGGTCCTCATGTTCCTCCCTATTCTTCCGCTGTGGTTCCTGCTGCTGCTGCTGCTGCTGCTGCTGCTGCCGTTCGTCCTCCTCCTTTTACTCCCGCTCATCCTCCTGCTCACCCGCCACCTCCTCCTGCGCACGCCACTCCCTGTTTCTCGATTGCGCATAACACGATGTGGTCTTTCTGTGGGAATCGCAGGTCGGCTATGACACGCGTCCGCGGACAATGAAAAAATCAGCGCCACGGGAAGGGATGGGAGGAAGGAATAGGACGTCAGACGAGGCGCGAGCGCACCTCGCTTGCCCCTCCCCACTCTCCCTCCCCTCTCTTTTTTCCTCACATGCTCCCCACTCCCTCCCCTCTATAGGCAAGCGCGTTCCACTACTTGCAAAGTCACTACTCGCAAATGGCCTGGATCCGACGCGGGGAATCCACGATACACTACGTCGGAGCAGACATGTGTTTTTCTGACGTTTGCGAGTAGGCACTTTGCGAGTAGTGGAACGCGCTCGGTGACTCTCCCTCCCCTCCCTGTCCTCCCACCCACCCTTCCCGATGCAGCAAGCGGCTTCGGTGCTCGCCTTGCCCTCTCTCCCGCCCTGCCCGTGAGGGCCCGGGACGGGCTGCCCCGGCAGAGGGTGCGTGCGCCATCCCCCCCTTCCTGTCCCACTCCCCCTCCCTCGCTCGTCCTCCCCCACTCCACGCCCTCCTGACAGGTCCCCCTCTCCCTACCCCACTCCTCCTCCCTCGCTCGTCCTCCCCCGCTCCACGTCCTCCTGAGAGGAACCGATGCCGGGTTTGGTGCCTTGCCCCGCCATCCACGTGCGCGTGGATGGCACGCTTTGTGAGTCTGCCGGGGCAACTGGAGACCTCCTATCTGGAGTCAGAGCTCGGAGGCGCCGCATCGCCAATGCATCGCCGATGCATCGGCGACGTCGGCGACATATCGGCAATGTCGGCATGGAAGAAAATCGCCGACCCTGTCGCGGTGTGCGAGACGCTGTTTCGTTTGACTCGTCGTCGTCGTCGTCGGCGTCGTCGCCGTCGTCGTCGCCGTCGCCGACGCCGTCGCCGTCCACGACGCCGTCGCCGTCGCCGTCGCCGTCGCCGCTCCTCCCCTTTCCCTGGGCCCTCCTCCTCAAGCGCGCCAGCCAAAGCGAAATTGACAAACGTCGTAGTCGAGTCGAAGGGAAGCCCCTTCCCTTTGATCCCTTCCCCGCCGGGGGCGAGGGGGGTCCCGGCGGGGGGAAATGTTGAGGGGGGTCCTGGGAGGGTGGTCCTGGGGGGGGGATCGGGGTCCAGGGGAGGGTCCTGGGTCAGAATACCATCCCTCCACGGGGAATCCCAGAGCCCAGAAAGGCCCCAAGACGGGCCAAGAGTGCCCCGAATCGCCGAACGAGTATCCCCAGACACCCAAGATAGCCTCCAGACGGCCCAAGAATCCTCCAAGACGCCCCAAGAGGCCTCCAAGAGGCACACTTCCTTCTTCCTCCTGAGGTTTTTAAGAGATGTTGGCGTTCTCGCCTTTTCAATTTCCAGACGCTCCATTATGGCCCAAAAAGCCCCCAAGATCGCCACAAGACGGCCCAAGAGGAATCCAAGAGTGCCCCAAAACAATCCAAGAAGGCCCCAAGACGGCCCAAGAGGCCCCCAAGACGGCCCAAGAGGCCCCCAAGATGACTCCAAGAGGGTGACCAGACGGGGACCCGAACAGACATTTCGAGCCCTCGGGCCTGAGAGGCTCCCAGGAGGCCCCAAGAGGCCCCACGAGGCCCTCACGAGGCCTCCGAGAGGCCCAAGGGGGCCCCCACAGGGCCCCCAGAAAATCCCAAGAGGTCCCCAAGAAGATCCCGAGAGGCCCCCAAGCGGCTCCCAAGACGCCCTAAACACTGTCCCCCAGAGGCCCCGAGGGCGCACAGAAGAGACCCCAAGAAGCATCCCTGAGGACTCTGGCCCACGTCAGCGTCGTCGCCGCCGCCGCCGCCGTCCTCGTCGTCCCCCGTCAGGATCGGCGGCACCGGCCGTCAGGCCTCCGCACTCGGGCTCCACATCGAGCCTGTTCGATGCATCTGCGACGCGGCGCGGTCCTCCGACCCCACCTGCGAGGCCAAGAGAAGAGACCCCACGTACGGGCGCTCCTCTGGGCGGCTCCTCCCCGGCCCCAGGACGTCGGCCCCGGGGCAGAGCGAAGGGGGGGGTGCGTGCCACGGGGGGGGCGACCGCCACGGGGGGAGGGGGAACATCGACCTGGCACCGGCGGCACGTCGCCGACAGGTCGGTCCCGACCGCCCCCCGTCGTGGCCTCCCATCGTGACCCGCCATCGTGGCCTCCCATCGCAACTGTGTAAAGCTGTTCTGAAGGGACACAGGGGCACACACATAGATAAACACAACTCCAAGGATTCCCTCTATTTCCCCATATTTTCTGGGTCTCCGTTTTCCCCCCTCTTCCCACATGTTCCCATATTTTCGTGGGAACCTCTTGGGGCCTCCTGGGAGCCTCTCGAGGCCGAAAACTCGAAATATCCGTTCTGTTCCCCGTCTGGAAACGCCTTGGGAGCCGTCTTGGGGGCCTCTTGGGCCGTCTTGGAGGCGTTTTGGGTTGTCTTGGCGTCCTCTTGGGCTGTTTGTGGAGCTCTCTTGGAAGCTTTTTGGGCCGTCTTGGAGCGATCTTGGGGGCCTCCTGGGCCGTCTTGGAGCGGCAGGCAACAGAAAAGGCGAGAACGCCCGAAACATGTTTGAAAGAGAAGCAGCAGCAGCAGCAGCAGCAGCAGCAACAGCAACAACAAAAACAAAAACAACAACAACAACAACAACAACAACAACAACAACAACAACAACAACAACAACAACAACAACAACAACAACAACAACAACAACAATAACCACAACCACAACCACAACCACTACCACAACCACAACCACTACCACTACCACTACCACACCCACACCCACACCCACACCCACACCCACACCCACACCAACA